AGTCGTCTATCTCAGATGCTTCAGGCAAGGATGCCCCAAGGCATGGTGTATTGGCGAGACCATGCAGTTGCTATGACAACGGATGAATGGACACTGTGCAACAATCGCCAGACAGGAATGTTCCCTCCCTGTCAGGGAACACTTCAGCAGTCAAGGACATTCAGCCTCCGATCTTCAGGTAAGCATCTTCCAAGGCAGCCTTCAAAATACACTACAATGCAGAATGACTGAGCAGAAACTGACAGTCAAGTTCTGTACCCATGAAGACAGCATCAATCGTGATCTTGGGTTCATGTCGCGCTACATGTGACCCCACCACTGTATTTGTAAAATCTTCCATACTGTCCTTTTTTGACACCATCAGCTTGACACATTATTATGTTTGCTCTACTTTAATTAGTTTGTAGACTTTTGGTTACTTATTACTTTGGTTAGACCCTTGGCATGCGACTCTTATACCTACCATGTTATTCCAGTCATTTGGTTTCTCTCTAACACCACTTTATTTTTTTTTAATTATCTCTCTGCTCTTTTGAATCGGATAATAGGTGCTCCCTTCCCTTATTATTCGGCTGTTGACACTTTAATCACACCGTCTAACTCTTTTTATTCACACCATTTGTATGTTCTTTTGATCTCTCTGCTCTTGATCTCTGCCTCTAAATTCTCTGTGTGCTGTTCTCTCTCACTTCACCTAATGAAGGGGCCACGCTCTGAAAGCTTGTGATTTCAAATAAACCTATTGAACTTTAAGCTGGTGTCTTCTGATTTCTGACCTTGTCCACCCCAGTCCAACACCAGCACTTCCACATCACGCTCACTAAATGAGAAAGAGATATTGCTAGAACGGATTGTGGGAAGTCAGGTAGATCAAGTGAATCACATATGAGCAGGGGAATCATTTGTGTGATAATAAACATAGTTTCATAAGGTTAGGGATGAAATTCAGTGACCTCTGAGACATAAATGTAAGACCATCTGATATAGTCTTTAATTCTGGGGTATTATCAAAGAGGGGCCATAAGGAATGGAAAGATCCTGATCAAACTAATAGCAATCAAACTATTAAGATTCATTTTTCATGGTTAATTGATATCGATTACAAATTCTCAGAATCTAAACCATAATAAAATGCAATGAAGCACCCTATATCTCACATACTCCTTTGTTTTATGATGACAGTCCCGATAATGAGTCAGGCAATTAATAGTGGTAAGCTACATATAATACAGGAGTAATACATCCAATTGTCTAAAATGGTTACTTGGATGACATTTGTTTTAGAAGGGTACAATGATCAGAAGAATGCAACTATTGGCGGACATGCAGAAAAAATTACTGGCATGTTTGAATATTCATGAAATATTCAAGATGATGATCGACAATTGAGGTCCATGAACTGATAGAATGTGATAAAAGAATGGAAAGTAAGAAAAAAAAAGCACTGCAAGTTCTAATTGTGTGTTGGGATTGAATCTTGTTGGGACTGAATCCAGCGAGAGACCTCGCTGTCATGTGAAATACATCGAAGCACAAATAGAAGCCACTGCTTGAATGGTTTGCACAAAGAAGGAGGCCTACAGAACAGTCTCAGATAGAAAAGAAGTATAAGTCCTCCAGGTCTGAAAGCTGTCAATAAATTAAAGCATAAACTAAGAGTTAAAACAACAAAATAATTGGAAAGATTTTGGAATTTCCTGGAGTCTGAGATAGGAATACTCAGCCTCATTGCATGGTTGAATTCGTACAGAACGATGCTTGCAAATGGGATATGTAGGTCTAAAGCAAGGCTGACTGGTGCTTTGGAGAGAATCTGGGTGATACGGACAATGAATGGTAGGTCCTTAGGGAGAACTGAGGGACAAAGGGACCTTGGTCTACAAGTTCGTAGATCCCTGAAGGTGACAGCACAGGTAGGCAGGGTGGTGAAGAAAGTATGGGGGTTGCTTGCCTTCATTAGCTGGGGCACAGAATATAGGAGAAAGGAAGTCTTGTTACAACTTTATAAAACATTGGTTAGGCCACAGATGGACTACAGTGTGCAGTTCTGGTCACCAAACTATTGAAGGATATAATTGCATTGAAAAGGCTGCAGAGTAAATTCACCAGGGTGTTGCCTGGATGAAAAGTCTCATTTATGAGGAGCGACTGAATAGGCTGGGATTGTTTTCCTTAGACCAGAGAAGACTGAAGTGGGTATCTGATTGAGGTATATAAAATTATGAGAAGTGTAAACAGAGTAGATCTGAGAATTTCTTCCTTGTGGCAGATATGATTAAGAACAGAGGGCATAAGTTTAAGGTAAGGAGTTACTGTTTACAGGAGATATGAGAAAGAATCTTTTCACCAAGAGTGTAATAGATAAATGGAACATGCTGTCTGAGAGGTGGAAGCAGATGGTCTCTCAACACTTAAGAGGCATCTAGATGAGTATTAAAAATGTCAGGGTCAGGTAGGCTATGGACCAAGTACAAGTAAATAGGATTAGTGAAGTTTGGTGTTTGTTAGTCGGCATAGACATAGTGAGCCAAAGGGCTTGTTTCCATCCTGTATGACTCTCTGTGTGAGAGATGTCAGAGTGTACTTTTCCACAATAGACCAGTAATGCAGAAAGTCCTTTGAGTTCTTTGGCCACTGTGATGATCCAGTTAGGAAAGATAAATGGATTCTTTTCCCTGTCCCACACCTCCACATGTCACGAAAAAGGTTAAATTTTTAAAAAAAGTGATATTGCCAATTACATTAGTAAGATTCCAATTAACTCAGGATCAGATATCAACCTAACAGATTCCTTGAGCAATATATAAAAATTTAATTTACCACAAACAAAACTTATCAAGCAAAGATGTAATGGTGACTAATAAAAGGTATAAACATTACAAATATATACAACGTTCTCGAAAAATAATTACACATAATGCTCTTCACTTGGGAAGAAAAATGTACAAAACTGCAGTGTCACCTTAAAAATATTTCTGCCAAGTAATGGCTAAATTTGCAAAATTTCTGATTCACTGAATATTCTAATGCATGACAGTAGCAGAAGCCACTTTCCACATAAACTGTTGGCACTGAAATTTCTTCCAGGGTCAGTTATGCCTGATTTAGTTTACTTTTCTGAAGACAGTGTTAGTGAATTCTGTTTCAAATAGCCCTTCACTTGTGATGATGAGATCTTCCAATGGATTTTAAACTCACAAACTCTGATAAGAGCCTTTTAGAGAAAGAAAGAGGATAGAGGGTAACACAGTGTGGAGGAACACAGCAGGCCAGGTAGCATCAGAGGAGCAGGAAAGCTGACATTTCGCATCGAGTCCCTTCTTCAGAAATGGGGGAGGGGAAGGGGGCTCTGAAGTAAATAGAGAGGGGGTTGGGGTTGGGCTGGGGAAGGTAGGTGCAATGGTGATAGCAGGTAGGTGGTGGTGGGGATTGGTCAGTGAGGTGGGAGGAGCGGATAGGTGGGAGAGAAGATGGATAGGTCAAGGAGGCGGGGATGAGAAGGAGGGTTGGTCTTGGGATGAGGCCAGGGGTGGAGAGATTTTGAAGCTAGTAAAGTCCACATTGAGACCATTGGGTTGTAGACTTCCAAGGCAGAATATGAGGTGCTGCTCCTTCAGTTTCCAGGTGGCATCGTTGAGACACTCGAGGAGGCCCAGGATGGACGTGTTGTCCAGGGAGTGAGAGGGGGAGTTGAAGTGGTTGGCGACTGGGAGGTGTTGTCGTTTGTTGCAAACTGGGCGTAGGTGCTCTACAAAATGATCTCTGAGCCTACGCTTGGTCTCACCGGTGTAGAGGAGGCTACATCGGGAACAGCGGATACAATAGAACACATTAGTGGATGTGTAGGTGAACATCTGTCTGATGTGGAAGGTTTTTTTGGGGCCTGGGATGGAGGTGAGGGGGCAGGTGTAGCACCTCCTGTGGTTGCAGGGAAAGGTGCCGGGGTTGGTGGGGCTAGTGGGAGTGTGGAGCGGACGAGGGAGTCACAGAGAGAGTGGTCCCTCCCGAAGGCAGATAAGGGTGGGGAGGGAAATATAGCCTTTGTAGTGGGGTCAGATTGCAGGTGGCGGAAGTGGCAGAGAATGATGCGTTGAATCTGGAGGTTAATGGGGTGATATGTTAGGACAAGGGGAATTCTGTCTTGGTTTTTATTGCGGGGAGGTGGTGTGAGGGCAGAGGTGTGGGAAACACAAGAGATGCGGTTGAGGGCATTTTCGACCACTGAAGGGGGGATGTTGCGGTCCTTGAAGTATGAGGACATCTGGGATTTTTGGGAGTGGAATGCATCATCTTGGGAGCAGATGCGGTGGAGGCAGAGGAATTGGGAGTAGGGGATCGCATTCTTGAAGGATGGTGGGTGAGAGGAGGTGTAGTCTAGGTAACTGTGGGAGTTGGTGGGCTTGAAATAGATATCAGTTTCGAGGTGGTCATCAGAGATGGAGACAGAGAGATCCAGGAAGGAGAGAGAGGCATCAGAGATAGTCCAGGTGATCTTGAGGTTGGAGTGGAAGGTGCTGGTAAAGTTGATGAACTGTTCGAGCTCCTCATGGGAGCATGAGGCGGCGCTGATACAGTCATCGATGTAGCGGAGGAAAAGATGGGGGATAGTGCCAGTGTAGCCTACCTGCACTCACCTATCGCCATCCCAACTTTACTAGCTTCAAAATCTCCCCACCCTTGGCCTCATCCCAAGACCTCTCATCCCTGCCTCCTTGACCTGTCCATCTTCTATCCCACCTATCCGCTCCTCCCACCTCACTGACCAATCCCCACCTCTACCTACATGCTATCACCACCCCACCTACCTTCCCCAGCCCAATGCCCCCCTCTCTATTTATTTCAGAGCCCCCTTCCCCTCCCCCATTTCTGAAGAAATGTCTCGACCTGAAACGTTTTCTTGCTCCTCTGATGCTGCCTGGCCTGCTGTGTTCCTCCAGTTCCACACTGTGTTATCTCAGACTCCAGCATCAGCAGTTCTTACTATCTCAGAGGACAGAGGGTATTGCTCCTGAGTTGAATTATTTCTGTATTCAAATCCAGCATCATTTCTTCACCTGCAAACTGAATAATTTGACTTCTCCCTGAACATGTTGCAGACTTAGTGTTTCCACCCAGGCTGTCTTTTTCCTGGCAAATGCAATATTTTTGCTGCTGTGCAGTGTCGTTTGCTTTGCAAAGTGTTCTTCCTGAAAAGTTCAAGATATGCATGAATTTAATTATATTGCCCAGTTAATAATATTCAATATTATTTTTGATAACACATCTTTATAACAGTCACATATTTATGTGGGTCAGATCAATTGATTTAAAAGTTTCAGCAGAGTAAAATATTTCAGAAAATGGTGTTTCTGAAAGTTCCTAAGGAGTTAAATGGTGCAGAAGGAAAACTTTGAAAGGAAAACAGATTCATTTGCAGCCTGAATGATGCCTCAAGATTGTGATATCTTTCATTGAGATCTACTTTGGTGAAAGTAGACTGTGTCAACTAAAAGCAGACCCTGTGATGATTTAGTGACATCAAAAGGAAAACTTTAGGCATTATCATGATGCATGGTAATAATTTCTCTTGGGCTGATTCTGTGAAATTTGTGAAGTGTGATGTTAATAAGGTTGAAGTGGAATTTATGAAATCAGATTTAAGGATTTTGTAAATAAATTGATTTAGACATTGAGGAGAATAAATCTGGTGAAACATTTTACTTTTATCCTGTCCCCAGTGAATTGTGTGGTCATCATAGAAATATGATATCATATCCAAATTTATCAGTAATTTGAAATGGTTATGAACTCAGATAAGGCAAGACTAGATAGAATCCAACCCCCTAAATTCATTACTTTAGAATATATATCCTGCTCTCTTTTGAAACATCCTATGGTATCGGCCTCCATCACTCTCCCAGGCAGTGTATTCCAAATCCTAACAACTCTCTGAGTAAAAAAAAAAGTTTCCCCGCATCTCAATGCTAGCTTTCTTGCTGACAGTCTTCAAATTGTGACTGCTAGTAACTGATATGCAAACTAATGGAAACAGAATAACCTTCTTTACTCTGTCCAAATTGTTGATAATTTTAAATACCTCAATAAGGACACCTCTTGATCTTCTCTGCTCCAAGGAGAATAAGACTAATTTCTTTAATCTTTCCTTGTTCTAAAATCCCTCATTCTTTGTGTTGTTGAACTCTCCACAGGACTTTAACATCCTAACTTAAATAAGGTGCCTAGAACTGAACACAAGACTCCAAATATGATCTGGCCAATGATTTTTTGAGGTGTAGCATCATTTCCTTGCTTTTATACTCTGCCTCCATTTATAAACTCAAGGATGCTGTGAGCCTTCTTAACAACTGTTTCAACTTGCCAAGCCACATTCAGAGAATTATGCACTTGAACCCTGAGGTCACTCTGCTCCTGCATTCCTCTCAATATTGTACCATTGTGCCTGTATTGACTCTCCATTTTTTTTCTCACGTTATCTGACATTTCTCTGCATTGAAATTCATCTGCCAGGTATCTGCCCATTTAGCTAACTTGTCAATGTCCCTCTGAAGTCACTTAGCATCATCCTCGCCATTCACTATTCTCCCGACATATACAACATCAATAGCACTACTTTCATCTACTGCCTGTGTCACCTCATCAAAGAACTCATTTAAATTTGTCAGATGCGACCTAGCTTTCATAAAGTCATCTTGACCATCTATTTTTTTATTTACTTTTCTCTCAGTGTATGCTATATAAGGGCATAGTTTTCCCACTATTGATGCTGACAGGTCTGTAGTTTCCTGGGTTATCCTTTGCCTTTTTTCTTAAACAACAGTGTCACTTATCCAATCCTCCACTCTCCTGTGACTCATCCTGTCTTCAGAGCGATCTGTAAAATTTCTGTCAACGGTTCTGTGATTTGCTCCCCTACCTCTCTCAGCAAGCTAGGATACATTCCATTTGGCTTTGTGAACTGGAGTGCTGCCAGCCTTTTTAGCACTTCTTTATCTATCACTATACTTCTCAGTTGCCCAACATCCACATTTTCAACAGGACCATTGTTACCATTTTGTAATTTGGTAAAGACAGAAGCAAAGTATTCATTTAGTACCTCTGTCATACCCTTTGCTTCAGTGAGCAGTTTACCCTGTTTGTTCCTTATGGGCTCTAGTCTATTCTTTTGATAATATTTTACTATTTGCTGCATCAATAGGAATCAGATTTTGTTTTGATGCATTGGAATGAAGAACACTAAAGGTGAGGATGTTTTAAGGGCGAATGAAACATAAAATAGTTCAAAGAGATAGCAAGAACTGCAGATGCTGGAGTCAGAGACAACACAGTATGGAGCCGGAGGAACACAGCAGGCCAGGCAGCATCAGAGAAGCAGGAAAGTTGATGTTTCGGCTTAGGACCCTTCTTCAGTGCTCCACACTGTGTTGTCTCATAAAACAGTTCAATGTGATGAAGTGTGTATTTAGATTTCCATCCTTAGATGACACAAATAAATATTAGGTTTGTTATTTTTACTGATTTTTTTAGTGATGTTTTAGTAATGTTTCTTATTATAATCACCAACGGGAAATTTAGTATGCTGGTTTCATAATACATTCAGTGGGTGAACATGGAAAATGTTACTTTTTACTCTGGGAAGCTAAGAAAATAAAGGGTTAGAAGCTGAAACACTTCTTCTGGGAGCAGTGGATGTGAAATTAAATAGTTAAACATTTTAGAGAAATTCTATATAAAGCTTGCTCAATGAATGTTACACAGACAATCTTTCCTTCTGGGCTATTGTACACTCTACAAAAGTGCAAGTAAAAATGAGGTTAAGGATTGATCTTGCTAACATAAAACTAACATTACAAAACAGATAATCTCCAAGATCAAAGGGGATAGATGTAAGTGATCAATTATTTTATGGTTTAATGAAAAGGAATGCTTGTATCAAATGACTATTGGGGGTTCTACAAGATGAGCATCTTGTAATAGAGTGCTTAGAATATGGAAAATGATTCTTTCCTTCAACACGCTTTTGAAATATTGTTTGTGAATATTATTTGTTAAGTTTTATTTTGAAAAAGACTAAAAGGAATCTCTTAATTATATAAAGGAATGTTAAATGTATGTGGGTAATGAGCATTCACTGGAGCTCATTCAAAGACACACTTATTGACATTGATTATAGGTTGCAGATTTAGGAACGATACATTTGTAATTTCTTGCTGTATGATTGAATCTAAAAACAAAATAAAGATTGACTTCCTTCACGAACTGGCTGTAAAAGTTTTACCAGGAAATGAGGTAGGAATTTGCAAGAAACATTAACCATAATCTTTTGATTCTTGCTAGCTATACGGGTGGTACCAAAGAACTGGACAATTGCAAGTGTTACATCTTTGTTCAACAAAAGGATGCAATAAATGCTGCAACTACAGACATCCTCAGTGGTGGGAAATCTCATAGAAATGATATTCTTATACAAACTTAATTAGATGAGTGTGGATGAATAAAGAAAAGACAGCTTGGATTTATTAAATATAGATTGTGTTAAACTAACTAGTTTGAATTTTTGCCAACGACTGTGTTGCTGAAAGTAATATGACTGATGTGGTATACATTGACTTTCAAAATACATTAGATAAAGCAGCATATAATATATTTTTCCAGCAAAATTAAAGGTCATAGAATAAAAGCAATAGTGGCAGCATGGATACAAATTAGGCTGAGTGGCAGGAAACAATTCTTTTTCAAACAGGAAGTGGGTGTACAATGGAACTTCCCATTTATCAATACTAAGATTCTTGTTTTTCATGACATGCATTAATAATTGAGACATAGATGTAAAGGGCACACTTTAAATTTGCTAATGACACAAAACTTGGAAGTACTGTGAGGACACTAATGATAGATTTCAGAAATGTATAACAGGATTTTGTTATGATCAACATGTGGATCTGTAAACCAAAGATCCAAATTGATTACAAACTCCAAATTAGGGAGCTGATGGTGAAGTCTAAGATTTTATGACTATGAGTTAAAAAAATACCCAGGGTAAATGTAAATTAAATGGAAATTAACAGTCAAGTCACTGATAGTATGAACTAAAAATTACCAGAGGAACAGCAGATACAGTAAAGATATCTCACAGAGTTGCTGAGCAGTATACTCCACCCATCTGGAGACAGTTAAGGACAGATGCTGGAGCTTAGAGTCAATAAACGTGGAGCTGGAAAAGCACAGCTGGTCAGACAGCATCTGAGGAGCGGGAAAGTCAACGTTTGGGGCCAAAACACTTCATCAGGACTGGGGAGGGGGAGGGGAACCCAGGCATCAGGACTGGGGAGGGGGAGGGGAACCCAGGCAGCACAGTGACTCAATGGTTAACACTGCTGCCTCTCACACCAGAGACCTGGGTTTGATTCCAGCCTCGGGCAACTGTCTGTTTGGAGTTTGTACACTCTTCCCCTGTCTGTGTGGATTTCCTTCGGGTGCTCTGGTTTCCTCTCACAGTCCAAAGATGTGCACGGATTGGCTATGCTAAATTGCCCATAGTGTCCAGGGATGTGTAGGTTCAGTGGTTTAGCACGAGAAATGTAGGGTTACAGGGTAGGGGTGGGTGTGAGTTGGTGTGGACTTGTTTGGCTGAATGGCCCACTGTAAGGATTCTATGAATCTAAACAAATAGGGGGCAGGGATGGCTGGGCTGGTGGCGGTGGTGGGGGGAGGGTGGTAGAAGCACAGGTGGCTGCAGGTATGGGGTTATTTTGTTGGTGAGTGTGAAGGGTGAAGTGGATAGGTGAGATAAAAGGAGGACAGATTTTGAAGCTGGTGATGTCAATATTTAGGTCATTGGACTATGAGCTCTCAAGGCGATATATGAGGTGTTGTTCCTCCAATTTATGTCACTGTCACCCTGACAGTGGAGGAGGCCAGGGGAGTTGGGATGGGGAGTTAAAGTGGATGGCAACCAGAAGGTTGGGTTGGTTGCTGTGTACAGAGCACAGATGCTCCGCAAAACGGTCCCCAACTCTGTATCTGGTCTCCCTATTATACAGGAAGCCACATTGGGAGCAACGGATACAGTAGATGAGGTTAGATGAAGTGCAGGTGAATCTCTGCCAGATTTGGAAAGAAGGTCTTCCCTCTTCACCGGCACCATCCCCACCTCTTTCTCTGCTATATTGATGACTGTATTGGTGCTGCCTTGTGCTCCCTCGAGGAGCTCGAACAGTTCATCAACTTCACCAACACTTTCCACTGCATCCTCAAATTCACCTGGACCATTTCTGACATGTCCCTCCTCTTCCTGGACCTCCCTGTCTCCATCTCCAGTAACTTACCACTGATATCCATTTCAAATCCACTGACTCCCACAATTACCTCGATTACACCTCCTCTCAACCACCCTCCTGCAAAAATTCTATCCCATACTCACAATTCTTTCACCTCCACTGCATCTACTCCCAGGATCAGGCATTAAGGATGCCCTGAACTGCAAATCCCCCAGACCCCTTGCTTCTGCCCTCAAACTCTCTCCCTCCAACAACGATAAGGATAGAATCCCCTTGGTTCTCACATACCACCCTACCAACCTCCCAATACAACACTTTATCCTTTGACATTTCTGCCAGCTACAACCAGACCCACCACCAAAAAAATATTTCCCTCCCAACCCCTCTCCACTTTCTGCATGGATCATTCACTCCGTGACTTCCTCGTCAGCTCCATACTCTCCACCAACCCCTCCACCACACCCAGTATCTTTTCCTGCAACCGGAGGAGGTGCTACATCTGCTATCTCAGTAAGTTACTGGAGATGGAGACAGCAAGGGGGGGGGAGGTGTCAGAAATGGTCCAGGTGAATTTGAGGATGCGGTGGAAGGTGTTGGTGAAGTTGACTAACAGTTCGAGCTCCTCGAGGGAGCACAAGGCAGCACCAGTACAATCATCAATATAGCAAAGAAAGAGGTGGGGATGGTGCCGATGAAGAGGGAAGACCTTCCTTCCAAATCTGGCAGAGATTAACCTGCACTTCATCTAACCTCATCTTCTGTATCCGTTGCTCCCAGTGTGGCTTCCTGTATATTCTTCCAAATCACCTGTGCTTCATCTAACCTCATCTACCGTATCCGTTGCTCCCGATATGGTCTCCTCTGTATTGGGGAGGTCAAATGCAGACTTGGGGACCATGTTGTGGAGCTTCTGCGCTCTGCACGCACCAACCAACCTGACTTGATCCTTTTATAAGTGATACAAACCATTTTTAAAAATGCCAAATTCCTCAAATATCTCAGAATAATCACATTTCTTTTTGTGCATTATTGCCTCTGGATAAAAGAACATACAATTTCAATTGGTTTTTATTTGAGTTTCTCTCCCCATATCAATCAGATAACAGGAACATGTCTTAAGCTGTGGTGTTTACCTGGATGTTTCCATTTTATGAGTTAAAGGTGCATTTTAAAGCATGTTTGTCATGAAAAAGATCAGTATTCAAGACAACAACAACAGTATTCAAGACAATATTGACAGGCTTGTGAAATGGGCAGACATATGACAGGTGAAATAAGAAAATGATATATTTGATAAGAAGAATGAAGAAACAATACAAAATAAAGGGTGTAATCCTAATATGAGTGCAGGAACAGAGGGACCTGGGGACACATGTACAAATATTGTGGACAGTGGCAGGACAGTTTGTGAAACTGATTAAAAAGGCCTAGGGGTTGTTGGGTTTTGTTAATAGAGGCTCTGATACAAAAACAATGAAGTTATGATCAAGCTTTAAAAAACACTATTTCAGTGTCAACTGCAGAACTTTGTTCAATTCTGGGCACCAGACTTTAGGAGGGAGGATAAGGGAGGGTTCGTAAAAGATTTGCAGGAACAGTTGTGTTTGGGACTTCAGTTGCATGTGTTCTCCTTAAAGAAGAAAATATTAAGAAAAGATTTGATTGAAATGTTAAAAAATACAAGGATTTAAACAGAGTTGATAAAAGAAACTGTTCCCATTGGTGGAAGCATTGAGAACCACAGGAAATCAATGTGAAATGAGAGCCAAAAGAACTGATGGTAACAAAAGGAACATCTTTTAATGCAGCAATGGTTATGATCTGGAATATACTGGCTGAGTGTGTACATTCAGTGGAGGTAGATTCAGTTACAGCTTCAAAAGGGAATATTTGGGCCAGCTGTGGATGGGTAACAATTGGCTACTTTACGCTCAAATCTCCTTCCTCCTCAGAAATTCCTTATACTCCTGCAAATCCATTAACTGGCGTAATGGAATGTCCATGGTCAACACTGTTTGGAATGTAGTAGTATGTGCCAATGAATTGAAGTAGTGAACACGGCTCATAACAGGTCGAATAAAACAAAGAACTGCAGGTGCTGAGTCCGAAGCGGAATCAGAAGCTGCTGGAGAAACTCAGCAGGTCTGACAGCATCTGTGGAGAGAAAGCAGAGTCAATGTTTCGGGTGTGGTGACCCTTCTTTAGAACTCATAGTAACTAGGAAAAGGTAGCATGTGTGCTGATGGTGGGGAGGGTGGATGTAAAAGAATAATCAATAGGTGAAGCTGGAGCAGAGGACAGAAAGACAGTTAGGCAGACAGAGGTATGGATATTTGTAAACCAGGAAGAAAGAAAAGCTACAAATAGGCAGTAAGTGAGTTGGCTGTGCTGAAAGCATCTCATGTGATAACAGGGCCTGGAGTGTGGTGATGGATAACAAAAATATCAAAGGAGTTCAGGTGCTTAAACTATTGAATTCAATATTGTGTTCTTAAGGCTGCATTCTGTGTTTTGTCTTCCCAAAGTAGAGGTTATATGTGCTATTATCAAGTGGTGTTTCCCTAAGCATAGTTCCCAAAATTGACTCTTCCTTGTACTGTCGAAACAAAGCAGTACAACTCTACCATTTCAAGGAACTTCACTCTGATTTACAGCAGTCAGGTCATAGAAACCACTCACCATTTTGACTTGAAAATTTACCACCATTCCTTCAATAGTCAGGTTCTGGAACACTGTCATGAACAGCATTGTGGGTGTACATGAAATAGTTTAAGAAGGCAGCTCACCACCTCAAGGGTAACGAGAGATACACAATAAACACTAGCCCAGTGAGTGATGCCCATATCTCTGGATGAATAAAAACAATCTCAAGCTTGTTAATAGACTGAAGTCCCATCCACTTTCCATCTGGCTGTCCTTGCCTCTTCTTTATACTGATAAAACTTTTAGTTCTCTCAGGGACCATGACTTGAAAGGAACTTGGGGATTTACCTGGGGGATTTGAGGTGGCATGGTGGCTCAGTGGTTAGCACTGCTGCCTCACAGCACCAGATGCCTGGGTTCAATTCCCCCTCAGGCAACTGTGTGGAGTTTGCACATTCTCCCCGTGTCTGCGTGGGTTTCCTCTGGGTGCTCTGGTTTCCTCCCGCAGGCTAGGTGGTTTGGCCATGCTAAATGCCCATAGTGTTCAGGGATGTGTAGATGAGGCAAGTTTGGGGAATAGGTCTGGGTGGGATTCCTTGAGGGTTGGTGTGGACTTGTTGGGCCAAAGGGCCTGTTTCCACACTATAGGGGTTCTATGGAACATATACATATTAATCAATTAAAACCTCCTAACTGATTAAAGATTTAACAGCATTTTCACTTTGTTTAGTACATCCTCATCAATGAGGTGAGCCTTTGATCTTTTATTTATAAATCCTGTGTCTGATTCTATCTCTCTCACTAACACCTGAATAAAGACTGAGACTCCGAAAGCTTGCATTTTGAAATAAACCTGTTGGACAACAAACTGGTGTTGTGTAATTTCTGACCTTGTCATTATATCCACTGTTCAAATTTGCCTTAAAGAGATGTAGATGATGTTACTGTACAATATTTTAATAAGCCAATACAAAATTAATCCTCTCAGAGATAGTAAGAACTGCAGATGCTGGAGTCAGAGATAACACAACCTGGAGCTGGAGGAACACAGCAGGCCAGGCAGCAATCAGAGGAGCAGTGAAGTTGATGTTTCTGATCTGAAACATCAACTTTCCTGCTCTTCCGATGCTGCCTGGCCTGCTGTGTTCCTCCAGCTCCACATTGTGTTATCACAAAATCAATCCTCATTTTGTTAAAAAATTTTGTTCAACTCAGAATCTAATACCAGGTTTTCATTGCCAGTTGAGTGCTTCATGCTTCATGCTCATGTTAATTTGCAGTACAGTTGTACCCCAGGTTATCTTTGAACCGTTGCAATACGTGGTGTATAATATCATTTTTAAAATTTGAAGAGCAGTAGATGTGGCACAATATATTGGTTTACCAATGCATACACTGGAGAGGCCACAGGTGTTTGCCTATCGTTCTCCACTTCGTGAATTGGCTGTTGTGGTTAAGAAGGGAAGCAGCTGCCTCACGCGGGTGGCTGGTCATCCATCACACCGAGTTGTTGATACACATCTTTCATTGGCTGTCTCAGTATGGATAGACAGTGATTTTCTCGGAAAAAAAATATGGAGACGCGTAGCCATTAAAAAAGACGCCAAAGCTGCGGATTGAAGAAAAAAGAAAATTAGTTCATACTTGATTTCAATTAAAATAAGAACTGAATTTACAGACGAAATTAAATCAGTGAAATCTTAATGTTAAGTAGAGGTATAAACGTGATTACACTAGCTTTTCGAAACATCTTCACTCATTTCTCCAATTATATAAAATCTCAATATTGAACTGAGAGAAAACAATAATAACTTGCAAAGAATAGGGTTTAAAATAGATTGCCTCGAGAGAAAACAAGGCATTTTACAAAAGTTTCCCTGTTTATAAATTGACGTAAAATTCTCAAGAAACTTAATCGTGAAAGGAAGCTGGCTGAAGCCCGAATCAAACTCTTCAGAGGCTTCAGTCGAAGCTTTCACTCGTCTTGAGGTTTTACTTTTCTTAAATTATTCTGAATCAGTTGCCTTATTTTCCTATAAATCTTTTTTAAATGCCTGTTCGACCATTTTGTTTGCTGTGGGGAGTCTGTGGTTTTGTTTTCCTTTCCATTCCCTTGTTTACTCAGGCAGTAGCGGTATCATTCCGCGAGTGTGGGGAGAGAGCCTCCCTCGAAAACACACACACAGACGGCGTGAGTGCCAGCTTCGTGCAATGAGCGAGCAAACAGACGGAGCGTAGTGTCCCGCTGCCGTCCGCAAAGTTGCTGCAGATCCCCGGCCTGGCAGTGCTAACAAAGCTTCCGCATCTGGATGGGTAGCAGTGACCTCCCTACTCCGGTTCCGCCTGCGGTCAGGAACAACTTCCCAAGTTTCAGCGGGATCTGCTTTTTCTGAAGACTTTTCTGTATGTTGTCTTTTCTTTTCTTCTTCCCCCCCCTCATTTTCCTCTCCCTCTGTTTGGTCGGGACGGGAGAAAAGGATCGTGTGAACAGCGAACAGATCCAAACAGATTGTGTGTACAGAAAAAGTATTTATGGGAGCATTAAATGGGTCGGTGTCCCCATCTTTGTTTGTCAGAAGGAAATCACAGTAACACAAGAGAGAAGTTGGGTTCTATCATCGGGATGTAAAGTGTTTGGTTAAGATTTTGATTTAGCTCAAACAAAAGGAACCAAGTTTTTTTCATTGCAGTCCATCTTGGAGAGGGTGGCGAGAGGTTAAAGAAGCGAAATTGGCGGACGAAAGTTTGTCAATATTGTATGCCGGGAGGGAAGGATGGGGGATTACAATATGCCCCCAAACCCGAAGCACAGCGCGATCGTGGAGAGGTTGAGACAACGGATCGAGCTATGTTGCCAGCACCATGCAGTCTGCCAGGTCCGCTACGAGCAGAACCAGCCGCAGCGCATCGAGCAGGAGCGAAGGGATAAACTCGTCCTGCACCAGAAATACCTGGAAACACGCAGTAAGAAGACCCCGAAAGCTAAACAGCAGCAGCAGCAACATGAAAGCAACCGGGCTCCCAAAAACTGCGACAACGAACAGCCTACAGGACCTAACGCAACCAGTGAACACGGGAATCTCACCCTCATTGCTGTAAGTTCGCTTCCTTCACTCGCTCACTTTCTGTATCTTCAAAACCAAAGATTCGTCTGTTGATCTTTTGGAATTTTCTTTGTTTTGATTTGTTTTGTTTCAAAGAATTAGACTTGCATAAGCAACTTATTTTTGAAAACAGCTAAAGTTTAGAAGGCATGTTGTAAAGTTCTACTTTTCATTACCCCGCCCCCGCTTGTTGATAGACTTCACCTAACAGGGTTTGAGTGAAATTGTGAAGAACAAAAAGTCGGTTTGATTTAATCTTAAGAGATAAAAACTGCAATGCAACGGCGGTCCCAACTAAACATTGCCCTGTGCCATGTAACCATATGTCTTCAATTTATTGAAAGTTCCATAAGTGTTATCAAACAGGCCCAGTTTTCTAGTTCCCTTATCTATTTGTAAGTCAATAAACAGCAAGTAGTGTGGATGGTTTACCTTAGTATATCATTTTTAAAAGCCTGTTTTGAATTGAATGACTCTCGCATCCCAATGGAAGAAACAGTTGATCACACGTGTAATCCATAAGTTGAATTTGCTCACTCGAAACTTGTGAATTGGCCAATAAATTGCACCCGCTTATAATAATGGTGCATATTAGGATATGAACTGCTTTGATTGAAGCAATTTTGATGTTGTTTTCAATGACAATTTTGAATAAGTCATAATTAGTTAACCAAATGTATTTGCATAAATATCAGACTTTAAGTTGATGTACTTTACCTGTATTATGCTAGAGTTTTTGAACTCTACTCATCTAGGTGGTTTCCTCTATACGTTTCCCAAGTATGTACTTATTTATGTAGTTTTGATGATGAGTGTCAGCAGGTTATCGAGCTGGGAGGAGCATTTAATTGTGTCTTCGATCTGTTCTCTTCTGATGCCCAGGAATTTTCAACAGGAATTTGACTGATTTTCATGCATATTTGAAGTGTTGTTCTCCTTTTGTACTTTGGATGAAACCAGCTTGGTGAATCATTTCAGGGACCCCTCTGTATAACCCAGTTACTCATTGGATAAACCTGAGACATTGAGTGTTGTGTTTGTACATGACATGTTACGATATTTGTATAAATAGCTACAAACTGTAATTCAGTCAACCAATTGTAATGATATCTCAAACTTCAGGAGAACATTGAATTTGAGTTACAGCAGCCTTGCACTCAATGCTAGGTTCTTTGTTTTTATATCATTGAAAGTGATTTTAACCAGTAGCAAAAAACTGCTTATTGATACCATTTTTCATAAAGTTTGACAGGATTTTACAGTCATAAAACAGGAAAACATTATTTTTTCCCCAGGGCAGAAATGACTATTACAAGGGGACATAATTTTAAGGCGATTGGAGGAGGGTATAGGGGAGATGTCAGAGGTAGGTTCTTTACGCAGAGAGTGGTGGGTGTGTGGAATGCGCCGCCGGCAGTGGTTGTGGAGTCAGATACTTTAGAGACTTCTAAGCAATTCTTGGATAGGTATATGGAGGATAGTAAAATCTAGGGTATGTAGGATAGATTGATGTTAGTAGGATAATAGGTCAGCACAACGTTGTGGGCCGAAGGGCCTGTACTGTTCTATGTTCCATTAAAACAAACATAAGCAAATGAAAACAAAGGAACTATGTATTTCTACTGGCTTATATTTTTTTGACAGATGGCTTTTTGATGGCATGAGATCAGTATTCTGTCAGAAAAATTATACTGAAGTGAGCATTCTTTAGTGTTGTAACAATACACCAGTGTGATATCTTAACCGATCATTTCAAATTTCTGTCACCTGTGGTAGAACTGCAGCATTTTAGTCAAGCATTACATTGCTTAAAACACGATCTTTCCAAACACCCATTGGAAAACAAAACTGAGCAATTTTACTTCAGGAAAGTTTTCATTGTTTGGGTAATTAGTGTGAAAATGACCATTCACTATTAAACTTTATTGAAATCCTGATGACACAAAGTACGGTTTATTAAAGGGTCCAGTGACCATACTCTCTTATTTTTAACATTTTATGGAAAAAGATAGGACAGGTCCTTAGGGTTAAGGTGCTGAACTGAAGCAGGACCAATTTTGGGGCCATTAGGCATGAACTAGCAGAAGTCGATTAGAAGGAAAAGGAAGGAATGGTAAATGGGAGGCAGTTAGTGTGATATCGAGAGTCAAAGGGCAGTATGTCCCTGTTAGGTTGAAGGGAGAAGGTGGCAGATTTAGGGATCCCTGGCTGACAAGGGATATCGAGGCTCTGGTCAGGGGTGAAAAAGAAGGCGTATATTGGGTTTAAGCTATTGGGCTCAAGTGAATCCCTAGATGATTATAAAAAGGGTAGGAGCACACTTAAGTGGGAAATGAGAAGAGCAAAAAGAAGGTATGAGATGGATGTGGAAGGTAAGGTTAAAAATAATCCCAAGAGGTTTTATAGCTATATTAAGAGTAAAAGGGTGGCTAGGGAGAGAATAGGTCCCCTTAAAAATCAGCATGGCTATCTATGTGTGGAACCACAGGAGATGGGAGATTTTTAATGAATATTTCTCCTCAGTGTTTTCTGAAAAGAGAATCCTGGATAGTAAGGAAATAAAGGAAACCAGTGGGGATGTTTTGGATTGCATAAATATTACCAGAGAGGAGGTGTTTGTAGCTTCAAAGTTTTAAGATTTGTAATTTTGCGAGTCATTTAAGTTTATTTAACAAAATGGCAACCATTTGCATACTGCAAACGTGAAATTGGAAACTGGAAATATAAGCAAGTGTAGGCCATTGGGTTCCTTGAGCCTGCTTTGCCAAATTATGGTTAATAACTACCGCAACATGATTTTCCCATATTATCTCCATATCCATTGACACTTTTAATAACTATAAGTCAGTTGATCTATGTCTTGACTCTACTGATTTTATAGCCTTCAAGGGTAAAAAAATTCCAAAGATTTGCAATCCTCAGTGAAGAAATTCCTCCTCATCTTAATTCTAAAAGGCATACTTCTTGTTCTGAAGACTCTGTCATGGCTCTAGACCCTGCACTAGCTAACATGAATATCTTTCTTTCATCTACCCTGTTGAGCCCTGTAAGAATGAAGAATACAACAATGTGGCCACCTCTCATTCTTCTAAACACTGAATACAGGACCAATCTCTTGGATCGCTCCTGATGGAACAATCCCTCCATCTCAGGGATCAGTCTCGTGAATCTTATTTGCACCCCGTTGATGGCAATCATATTCCAGGTGCAGTTTTACTAGAACTCCATAAAATTTCATGCAAGACTTCTGTACTCAGTTCAAATCCTCTTGTAGTAAATCTGTCAAACTGTTTTTGGCATTTGAGAAGTATTTGTCAGGAGAGCTCTGTTTGTCAAACAATAGCATGAGATTTTTAAGTTTATCTCAATAGGACAGGCAACCACTGTTCAATGTTTCTTTGGAAAGACAACACCAAGAGAAGCGTAGCATCTTTTTTTTGTGGGATGTGGGCATCATTAGCTGGACCAGCATTTATTGCCCAGAGGGCAGTTAAGAGTCACCCACATTGCTGTGGGTCTGGAGTCACCAGGTAATGAAAGCAGATTTTCTTCCCTAAAGGACATTAAACCAGATGGGATTTTCCTGACAATCGGCAATAGTTTCATGGTCATCATTAGATTCTTAATTCCAGATTACCATTGAATTCAAATTCCATCATCTGCCATAAACCCAAGTCCCCAGACATTATCTGGGTCTTTGGATTAATAGCCTAGCGATAATATGACTAGACTGTTGCCGACCCTAGGACATCACCAAATATTCTTGATATTTACATATATACTGAAAGAACAAGGCTTGGGCTCATAAACGTCTAACTCTGAGCATGCCACTAACTGAGCCAACTTGACTCCATTGGAGATATTGGCATGAGGCTGACTTTCCACCTCTGCTTCTGTTGCATACATTAAATCATTACTCTCTTGCTCCTGGACCACATTCAGAGGAGAGAAAAGTAATACAAGAGTGCCATAAATGAACAAAAATCAAGAAATAGCCTTTTACTGAAACCCCATAAGATTTAAAATTGCATGACCACCAGCATCTGTGAAGCGAAAATGAATTCTCTCTTACTCAGCTTTAACATTTAATTCTCCAATTGGTATATTGTGGGGAGCATATGTTTTAATGCCAAAACAGTTTTAAAGCCTGTTTCTAATTTTTATCAAAATAATTTGATTTTTTTTTTCAGATTTGATACTTTGTATAAAATAAGCTCTATTGAATCTGGTTTAAAACAATTTTACTGAACTTTAAAACACTTTGATATTTAAACAACATTCTTTGTTGATTCAATTAGCTCTTCATCCTAACATTGTGATGGTTTGAATCAGACTACAAATATCCAATTCTGTTAGAATTCTATAATATGTCCAGCAAGACATGTTCAGATCTTCCTGTATCCCAAATCAATCATTTAAGAAAGTATTTTTTGGGCTTTAGTGAGCTCACTTGGTTGGATAGTTGGTTAAGTGATACCAACAGCATGGGTTCAATTCCGGCACTGACTGAAGTTACCATGAAGGACTTTTTTTTCCATCTCTTCCCCTCACCTGAGGCACGGTGACTCTCGGGTTAAAATACCAGTTGCCTCTCTATTGAGAGGCAGGATTATGGCAACTTTACCTTTTCTAATCTGTGGCATGCAAATTTTTCTGCAACTCTTAAGGGATTCAGTGCGGATACCTGTTATATATTCAAGAGAAATTTGTTTTTGTCATGTGAATTATTTTGTATAATGTATAAGACTTTGTTTAAATAAAATGCTTACCTAGATGCTGTGGTAAAAATAATGGAAAGCCTCAATGAGTAAAGTTGCTGGACAGCAATTTACTGTGAACCTATATGTGCAGTTAACTGTGCAAAGCAGGAATCCGAATTCCCTGCTGCGCTAGAAACTTTGCTGTAATGTACTTCGCTAATAGAGTTGACACTGAAATACAGGCACCTACAACAGTGTGAAGGCATAGTACTTAGAATGTAGATACTCACT